ATTTTGGCGTCTTTTGTCTGTCTTTTCGCATCAGGGTGTATCAGTAGTTGTTGAGTTTGTATTTACTTCAAGTCTGTTATTCTCCCTTTTTCAAAAATGTTAGTTTGTAATAGACTGTTTTAGTAATATAAAAAAAATATTTCTTTATTTTTACACTTGTTTGTCTTGAACTATGTAATGATCTGATTCACGCGACATCGTGATACGTAGACAATCCTCATCGGATCCGGTCACATTTTTAACTTCAAATAATAATAAAAATATATAATAAAAAAAAATAATAAATAAAGGGGAGAATAAAGAGAAGCCGGAATGACGCATGTCATCGATGCAAACATGTAGAAATTCACTTAACTGTATAGGTGCATCACACCCCAACGTGAGATTACCTGTCTGTCATTTATTTCAAACTAACCGTTTGCTTGCTGCTAAGTCCAGTTTTTTAGAAAGGTGGTTTTGTTTGGTGGAGGTCTGGCCTCACATTTATACTTTACGAGGTCGAAAGGAAGTGTTCAGCTGCCCGTCACTAAGTCGAGAGGAAGTATTCACACTTACTTCACGAGATCAAAGGGAAGTGTAGAGATGTCTTCAGAAATTCCTTTGCCAACAATTCCTGTCTCCGAAGAGAGTTCAATCTCGGCCATCCCAACTTTTGAATTAGCAACTGCTGAAGAAAATAGAATCTTGCGGCTTCGCATGTTGGAAATGTTGGATGACTGGAACAATGAAAAAGAACCGCCGAGTGTAATCCCTGGATTCCCCGAGTTGTTCTCTAGGACAAGTGAGACTTCCAACGTCCCCATAAGTTATCCAACTACCCCATTCGGGTACCCTACCATTTCATCCCACTCCGCTGGATCACCCTCTGATTCTTATCCCCGGATGTCAACGACAGATGTGGCTACAAACATATTCACTGCACCNCAGATGGGTTTCCTGCAACCAGTCCCTCAGACAAGGCACAATCCAGCATCACCTGCTTACAAAGCCGGTGTCAGGTGTGCTTATCATTCGGGAGCAGAAGGGCATGATACCAATGATTGTTGGACTTTAAGAAGGGTGGTAGAGAACTTAATAGAATATGGAAAGATAGTATTAAGGGACGAGGAGGTCCCAAATGTGACCAACAATCCGTTGCCCGCTCACAATAATGGGCCATTGATTGGGATGATCTGTGAGGACAAGGAGTTTGATCCTGCCCTGAAAGCTACAATCGCCATTGTCGATGCAGAGAGAAAGCCTAAAGTAGCCCCGAAGCAAGAGAAAGGGGAAAAGAAGACTAATACTAACAAGACTGAACTCGAAAAGAAGGCAGAGACAAAGACAGAGAAGATGGTGCCTTCGAAGAATGAGGTTCTCTATATTCCACGAGGTCGATCAGAGAAGCCACAGAGATTCAAAATAAAAAGGGAAATACCGATGTACGTGTCGAAAGGGGCCTATGTGGTCCGAGGGACGATTAAACCGCCTTGGATGAATGAGCCAGTAGTTATCGGACGCGTGCCACAGAGGCCAATGACAGACCCGTCTACGGTACCGTAGAATTATCAACAAACATTGGTTACATACAAAGGGAAAGAAATCACGGGGGAACTTCCAGAAAATACTTCTGCTGGAAAATATTCAGACATTCAAGAAGTGAACAATGCCACACGGAAGCGCTTCCCACCCAAGAAGCCTGTAAGCGCTGAAGAAGCAGAGGCTTTCTTCCAGAAGATGAATATGCTTGACTATGAAGTGGTGGATTAGTTGCGCAAATACCCTGAACAAGTGTCTATGCTATCTTTGCTAATGAGGTCCGCCGAACATCAGAAGATCCTGCGCAAATCCTTGAATGAAGCGTATGTGCCGGCTGAGACTTCAGTTGAACAACTTGAGAGAATAACGGAAAGGTTATTTGTGGTTAATCAAGTTTATTTTAGCAAGAACGATTTGCCTCCGGAGGGAGCAGCTCATAACAAGGCTTTACATCTGACAGTCAAGTGTGAAGACTACTACGTCAAGCGATTAATGTTGGATGGGGGTTCGGGTATTGACACTTGCCCGCTCTCCACGCTGCAAAGAATGGAAATTGGGGATGGAAGGATTCGCCCCAATAATGTCTATGTAATAGATTTTGATGGTATTAAGAGGGATACCCTCGAAGAAATAGACATGATATTGACTATCGGGTCGGTGGAGTTCGAAGTAACCTTCCAGGTACTGGATATGGACACATCTTACAATTTTCTCCTCGAAAGACCTTGGATTCATGCTGCGGGGGCTGTACCCTCCACTCTCCACCAAATGGTGAAGTTCGAAGATGAAGATCGGGAAATTGTGGTCCACGAAGAAGACGAACAGTCTATTTATCGGGACCTATCCACCCCATGTCTTGAAGCAAGAGAAGGGAGTGAGCATACAGTTTATCAGGTTTTTGAAGTTGTGCTGGCAGAGCAGTATAAAGAAGAGAGCCCTTGTCCCCAACCTTTATTGTCCAACGCTTCAATCATGGTTGATAAAGAAATGGTCCGACAGGGATTCAAGCCGGGAAAAGGGCTTGGAAAATCACTGCAAGGAATAACTGAACCTATCACCTTGCCTTCCACTAAGAAACTCTTTGGGATAGGCTTCCAACCTACTCCAAAAGATGAAGATTGAGCATAGAAGAGAAAAAATGAGGGATGGAAGTTGCCTCGACCATTTCCACATTTGTACGAAACTTTCGTCAGACCAAATTACATTGAAGAAGAAGATGACGAGGCCTTTACGGCTGAAGAGATTGAAGAAATATGTGTAGCAATGAGAGAAATGCTTTATGAAGCTCACATGGTTCAGCTGGGAGTAGGCACAAGCACCGCTGAGGTTCTATACATGGGGCCAAATGCTAAGCTTCAAAATTGGGAGGCCACACCGTTCCCAGTTAGGCAGGAGTTCGGGTAGACCTGTCCTGCCACCTTTCCTGCATCACGAGTTATCCCAGGGTGTAACTCGGATGTTTTTCTTTAGTTTCCTGTTTTAACTTCCTGAATTATAAACCCTGTTATCTTCCCAATTCCAAGGAATAAAATCAGTATTGTATCATTTTTCCTTTATTCTTTCTGACATTTGCTATTTTTCTTTTGTCTTTTCCTTTCAGTTATAATAATGCGGCTTTAAATAATATGACATGCTTGCGGACTTCACGCCCAGATCCAAACGAGTTGTTTAATTGTGAAATAATGAACCGAGAACCGGAATATGACGAAGAAGAGGCTTTTAGGGAAATAAATCGAGAATTGGAACACTTTGAGAATAAACCTAAGCCGAATTTGAATGACACTGAACCGGTTATTTTGGGAACTCCTGAAGAAATCCGAGAAACCAAAATAAGCATTCACACAGATGAGAAAACGCGAGATGCAATAATCCAACTCCTCTTTGAATTTAAAGAAGTGTTTGCTTGGTCATACGATGACATGCCAGGATTAGGTGTTGATCTAGTGGTGCATAAATTTCCAATTTACCCTGATTGTCCTCCAGTTCAACAGAAGTAGAGGAAGTTCAAGACTGATATCAGTGACAAGATCAAAGAAGAAATCATAAAGCAGCTGAAAACAGGAGTAATTCGGGTAGTCCAGTATACTATGTGGTTGGCTAATGTAGTTCCGGTACCGAAGAAAGATGGAAAAACTCGGGTGTGTGTGGATTATCGAGATTTGAATAGGGCAAGTCCCAAAGACAATTTCCCGTTGCCCAACATCCACATCCGTGTTGATAACTGTGCTAAACATGAGATACAATCTTTCGTAGATTGTTACGCTGGATATCATCAGGTGTTGATGGATGAAGAAGATGCCGAGAAAATCGCCTTCACTACACCTTGGGGTACTTACTGTTATCGGGTTATGCCATTCGGTTTAAAGAATGCCGGGGCAACTTACATGAGAGCCATGACTGCCATTTTTCATGATATGATGCATCAAGAGATAGAGGTGTATGTAGACGACGTGATAGTCAAGTCCAGGACTCAGGACGATCATGTACGAGACTTGAGGAAATTCTTTGAGAGGCTGAGAAAGTACGACCTGAAGCTGAATCCGGCTAAGTGCACCTTCTGAGTCCCATCGGGCAAGCTTTTGGGTTTCATAGTAAGCAGGAGCGGTATCGAGTTAGATCCAACAAAGATAAAGTATATCCGAGATCTACCTCCTCCAAGAACGAAGAAAGACGTGATGAGTCTGTTGGGCAGGTTAAACTATATCAGTCGATTCATTGCGCAACTGACTAGAACATGTGAGCCCATATTCAAGCTATTAAGGAAGGATGCAGCATTCAAATGGACGGTTGAGTGTCAAGAGGCTTTTGACAAGATCAAAGAATATCTTTCAAATCCTCCAGTTTTGGTCCCGCCAGAGAGACCCCTGTTCTTATATCTGGCGGTCTTGGAAAATTCCTTTGATTGTGTCCTCGGACAACATGACATAACTTGAAAGAAAGAGCAGACGATCTATTACTTAAGCAAGAAGTTCACCGGTTATGAAGTCAAATACACTTTGTTGGAAAGAACTTGTTGTGCTTTGACATGGGTCGCTCAGAAATTGAGACATTATCTCCAAGCTCATACTACTTACCTCATAACCAGGTTGGATCCTTTGAAGTATATATTCCAGAAACCGATGCCTACTGGGAGATTAGCAAAGTGGCAAATCTTGCTTACTGAATTCGACATAGTCTATGTCACTCGCACGACAATGAAAGCTCAGGCGCTAGCAGATCATTTGGCTGAGAACCCGGTTGATGAGGAATACCAACCATTGAGTACTTATTTTCCAGATGAAGTAATAAACACCATAGAAGTAGTCTCGGAAGACGCTCATGCTTGGAAGATGTTCTTTGATGGGGCTGTAAACGCCAAAGGTGTAGGAATTGGGGCAATCTTGATCTCACCCAGTGGTCAACACTATCCGGCTACAGCTAGGCTTTGTTTCTTTTGCACGAACAATATAGCTGAATATGAAGCCTGCATCATGGGCATGAATATGGCAATCGATCAAGATGTTGAAGATTTTTTGATTATGGGGGATTATGATCTGATTATCCGGCAAGCCCAGGGTGAATGGGAAACTCGAGATGTCAAGATTATTCCTTACCGGCAGCATGTGGAGGATCTCAATAAGCAATTCAAATCAATAGAGTTCAGGTATATCCCGTAGTGTCACAATGAACTTGCCGATACACTTGCCACCTTAGCTTCAATGTTACCTTACCCAGGCAATGCCCACATCGATCCCTTGGAAATCTAAATCAGGGAAAGACACGGTTACTGTAATGTAATCGAGGCAGGACCAAGTACCCAGCCATGGTACCATGATGTTAAGAGGTTCTTAAATACACAAGAATACCCCGAACATGCTATCGGATATCAAAAGAGAACTATTAGGCGGCATGCGAGTGGATTCTTTTTGAGCGGCGAGGTATTGTATAAAAGAACCCCGGATCTCAACTTGTTAAGATGTGATGATGTTGAAGAGGTAGGAAAAATCATGCATGAAGTACACGCAGGAATGTGTGGACCTCATATGAACGGGTATGTCCTGGCGAAGAAAATCCTTCGAGCTGGGTATTATTGGATAACCATGGAGAAAGACTGTTTCAGTTTCATCCGGAAATGTCATCAGTTCCAGGTACATGGAGATCTGATTCATGCACCTCCAATAGAGCTACATCCTATGTCGGCGCCGTGGCCTTTTGTCGCCTGGGGTATGGACGTCATTGATCCGATTGAGCCGAAAGCCTCAAATGGGCACAGATTTATATTAGTCGCTATCGACTACTTCACAAAATGGGTCGAAGTTGTCACTCTCAAATCGGTCACTAAGAGAGCCGTGGTGGATTTTGTACATTCAAATCTTATTTGTCATTTCGGTATTCCTGCAACTATCATCACAGATAATGCGGCAAACCTGAATAGTCACTTG